TTTAGATATATTATGAAAAACTATAGAAAAAAGGGATCACTTAATTTATATTTAGGCTAACAGTTCTTATGAATAGGACCTACGTATTTTCCGGGAAATTGATCGAAGTGTTTGTCCAGATCGTCATCGGTGATTATCTTTTCACAGGCACAGCAACTTCCTTCTTGTTCAAAGTCATCTATTGTATCTGCACCCGGACTTTTTGTTGTAGCCCAATACTTGTAAAATAAACTCAAAGTCTTTTCTTTGAGAGATTTACAAAATTGCTTAATGCAATCATCACCTGTAATTTTATAAAATATTCATTATTTCAAATTTATTAAGTTGATTTTTTTTAATTTACCTTTATCTATATCTCATTTAGAGTTAGGTCATATTTGTGTGCAATGTAGAAAGATACTGCACACGCTGAATGTTTCTGCTCCTTTGTTGTTTATGACGTGGCCGGGTTATTTAAGCAGATCATAAATAACCACCGGAGGTGATAACTTCTTGTGATATCCTTTGAATGAAGTGGTCGTATTCGGTTCAGGATAGTACGAAGCCACTTATCCGCATTCAAGCTTATTGTGTGTAGTATTCGTTGTCATATAAAACTGCAGGCAATTGTCGCAAAAAATATTATGTTGAGTGCGAATTTGAATGCTGTGAACCGCATTATCTTTTAATACACGTAATACAGGGATAGTGCGTATTTTGACGGTTATTAATTCTAATATATTTACGTGGTTGGTTCGAAGCTCTTGAGTTTTAACAGTAGGTCCAAAAATTATCTTACCGTCATTATCAATTTCATAGACATTAATGCTAAAGTCTTTTTATTATTTTTCTCGAACTGACTTATTCCTTTTTTGTGATGGGAAACTCAACTCCCGAAAAATCCAGTCTTTTTCCTTCATATACAATGACTTCTGCATTGATATTTATGTGATAGTTAGCTGGTTTCGTTAATTTCTTCCATGAATATTTCTTTTCTTGGGGTGTTGCTAAAGTAGCATTCTGAAAGCGCGTGTTAGCTAGAAATGCTAAAATTGCCCACCTGAAACAAAATACGTCAGTGTTTTGAATATTGATTATCGCTTTTCTCGATTTTATGCTCTTCGGACCTGGTATGAAACCGCTTGCAGGAATGTTTACTAGTTTTACTATAGTAGCTTCAATGTTTTTGATAGCCCAACCAGAATCCTTTTCCAGGAACTCACAGCTCGATGTCAATAGAGATTCCATTGCTGCATTTAGCTCGTCAGTAATATTTTCAACCTGATGTACTGATCTATACGCCGTTGCAAAGTGTTTCGTGGTTTCAACGGTTTCTCCATCATCTATTTGTTTCATATAAATCCCGCATACTCTTAACGAGAATTTGATGGCTCTATATTCCAACATGCAACCCTCAATTATTTTGAGTAAATTTGATTGACACAACTGATAAAAATCATTTAAGTCAATTACATTTTCGTTTGAGCATTTAATTCGGTGCGTTTTTACAGGAAATTTAGAATTAGATACAATATGCAAAATATCTTTATAATTTTCATCTTCTCTGAGCGAAGCACTTTTATGATTATCGCTTAAAATATGCTGACGCTCCCTTGACTCCAGATAAGTGATACCACAAATATCGCATCAAATTTCTCTTTTTCGCTCTTCTTTATTGTTCGAAATTTTATGCTTTTTAGTGGAAGTAATTGATTCCTTACCCTCATCCATTCTCATCCGCTTGAGGGCATTTGCTGATGTTGAGGGATTATCATCTCGAAGAATGGATGTTTTTTGCTGTATTCCTTTTTTGGGTCCTTTCATTAACTGAATGAATGAAAAATGCTGAATGCATTTTGGGGTCCTGTACAATTTTTATAGTGCTCATCAAATTCATAGTTGGGAACTATACGGTAGCACAAGTCACTCCTTATTTTAGAACTTGCCATTAAAACCTCGAAGGCATTCCGAGGCTTGTAGCACTTGGCATAGTGATCACTAAACTCACTCATCTTCACAACCTTAGCACACAAATCACAAGCAATTGTAGACTCCATATTTAATTTTGATGATGTAGTTTTTTAAGTTTTAATAATATGTTTAATATTCTTATATATATTTATCTATATATATATATATATATAATATAATATTATTAATAAAAATTGTTCACCTAATGTTATGTTTAGGGAGTGCATAAAGGTATGCTATACTCCTAGAACCGATCGTATTGGTTTCGAGTATACATAGGAGCCCTGGATGCCAGGCATATGGTATTACAAGGATAAGGAAGACAAGGATGGCGAACAAATTAACGGTTGACGAAAATGAGGCCTGAGAGTTCCGTGTAAGTAAATATCGGTGTGTGGGAAAGACTAATCAGGAAAATGACAAGTGCAATAAATATTTCATTTAATGGTTTCTACGGACAGCGGGATAGTTTGTGTACAATCTCCGTGCAACAGAGATTTTCCCTTTCTATGTTCACTTAATAAGAACGATGCCTCCACGAATGCAAGTACAGGTGTGTGGGAAATAATGGTCGGAACACCGTCAATTGCAATAAATATTTTATTTTATGACTTATAAGGAATCAGAATCGGTCATGCACAAGTTTTATGAAATAAACATTTTCCCTTTATACTTACTTGTAACCACATTAAAGTCAACATTTGCATTCGATCAGCTGAGAGTAGCTAGAATATAGGCTATAGGCTGATTGTAATACAACAGTATTACAGTCTGAAAGACCTGACCCTTTGCTATCCCTTGGGCGAGTCCGCCTAGGTACTGACCACTACCCTCAAGTGTGCATTCATGACTGCTTGTGCGCGGAAGTGCGATCTCACCCCCACTCTGAAGTGTGTGGTCAGATCTGCTTGTGTGCGGAGGTGTGGAAATTTATTTTTAAGAGCTTTAATGAAAACTTACCACATAATATAAAAATTACAAGTGTTGCTGTAGGAGAAGGGTTATATCTCAAACCGTATAGAAGAGGTTATGGATTCTACCTAAAACGACATAGTAAGGGAAATGGTATTAAGAAGCGAAAAAACTAATATGTCAGAAAAACTAATAGACCACTTTTAAATATAGACATTACAACTTTTGCTCAAAGAGAGAGATTCTCCAATAATTCGAGAATGTGGTTAGAAAACCTAGATGATTGCGTATATACGTTTGTATGTGTGGCTTCTGGATGGTATAAAAATCGGGACTGCTTGCTTCAAAATTTACAGTCCCAGTTTCGACTTAACATTCAACAGACGTTTAATAGTAAGCGAGAAGTGAACAAAGAATAAAAAGTTATAAACATTAAAACAACTGATTAACAACAAAGAAACAACTTAATAACAGCAAAAAACAATAATATAATAAAACAAGAGAAAACGCTATAGTCGAGTGCCGCGACTATAAGATACCCGTTACTGTTTTAAACCATTTTAAAGTTTTAATTTTGCTAGTGTAAATTCACAAGGCGTCACCTATTGTCAGAGGAAGAAAGTTGAGTAATTGATGGTCACAAACCATGTGGGGCCTTATAACCAAAATTTCTTCATAAATAGCGAAATAATGTTCCGATTTGAAAAATCTTTGGTAAATCGATAGATATAAACAGAAATAAGTTATACAAGGTCAAACGAAGGCATTTATAAAAATATTATAGACGCCACAGTTTTCCGCTGTTTGTGGGCGTATGGCGTATGGGTGCCTTGAGCCTTGTGGACGTATGGGTGTGGCCGGATAATAGTACCACTATAAGATGAGCTGGCATCTAAAAATTATACATACTCCATTTGAACTTTTTAGCTCTAATAGTTCCTGAGATTTCAGCGATTTTAGTTTTTCGCGATTTGTGGTCGTTAGAGTGGTCGTGGTAGGATGCTGTAATAAACATGCGCTGCGTAGGGACCTCAAGAATCTTCGTGGTTAATCTCAAGTTTGTATCTCTTATAGTTCCTGAGATCTCAGCGTTTATACGGACAGACGGACGGACGGACGGACGGACGGACGGACGGACGGACAGACAGACAGACGGACAGACGAACGGACATTAGTAGGAAGGACGATCGCAGCAACATCAACAGCAGCAGTAAAAGACGACAGCGGCAACGACAAGGAGCAGCAGCTAAATCAATTTGAAAATTTTTTTTACATATACATATATAAATACATACATACAGAAGGAACATTTTTTTTTATAAAACGCAGTTTGACAATGATAATATTGTAAACTTTTGTATCCGAATTTGAAGTTGCTATATACATTAAAGATATAAAATGCCCGAAAAACCTATTCAGTTGCTCTCACAGCAGGCTGAAACAAGAGAAAACGCTATAGTCGAGTGCTGCGACTATAAGATAACCGTTACAGTTTTACTCAATTTTAAAATATAAATTTTGCTAGTGGAAATTCACAAGGCGTCACCAATTGTCAAAGGAAGCATGTTGAGTAACTGATAGTGACGTCATATTAGGCCTTATAACCTAAATTTTTTCATAAATAGCAAAATAATGTTTCGATTTAAAAAATCTTTGGTAAATCGATAGATATTAACAAAAATAAGTTATACAAGGTCAAACGAAAGCGTTCATACAAATATTATAGACGCCACAGTTTTCTGCATTCTTGCATTGGGAGCATCATAAAAACCTACATGCTTAATCCGAACTTTCTGTCACTTATAGTTACAGAGATATCAGTTTTTCTAGAATATGTGAGCTTGGTGGGCGTATGGGTGGGTGTGGCCGGATAATTGTAATACTATAAGATGCGCTAGCGTCTAAAGATTATACATACTCAATTTGAACTTTCTAGGCCTAATAGTTCCTGAGATTTCAGGGATTTTTGTTTTTCACGATTTGTGGGCGTTAGAGATTGTGTAGCAGGATGCTGTAATAAACTTGCGCTCCGTAGGGATCTCAAGAATCTTAATGGTTAATCTCAACTTTGTATCTCTTATAGTTCCTAAGATCTCAGCGTTCGTACGGACAGATGGACAGACGGACGGACAGACGGACATGGCTCAATCTTCGCTATTCATCCTGATCAAGAACATATATACCAGAGAACGGCAAGGGTACACCCAGACAATGAGTGCACTCGAATCATTTGTGCCTTTTAAGCTCTCAGAGTGTGATCGGCACCCTAGAGTAAGGGTGGGAGTCTTGCACAGCTCATTTCGAATGTGCACTTGCGCACCCAGAACTCTCTTGCACAGACACCCAACACACTCAAAGCAAATGAAGGGAGTGTCTGAAACACCCATGTTTTTGGGATGAGTGAGTCGGGTGTCTTGAAATGAGTCGGGTGTCTTGAAATGATTCGAGTGTCTTGAAATGATTCGAGTGTCCTCAAATGAGTCGAGTGTTTCGGGTGTCTTCGACTGATCTGACTGTTTCGGGTGTCTTCAGCTGTATTGCATGAGCAGGTCATTGAGGGATGACCGAATAATTTTACATGAAAAAAAAAGGAAATGGGTGTCTGTGCATTAGAATCATGTGCATAAACTTGAGTGGGTGACAAAAACGCAAACACTCAAAACACCCAAAGCGATCTGTGCACTCCGGGGGTGTCTTTTCTTGCTGTTCATGAGTGCGACAAACTCTCAAAATGTATAAGTGTGATTCGGATGCCGAAAAAAGACACCCTTGACGTTCTCTGATATATACTTTATAGGTTAATATACCCTATTTTCGCATTTATGGTTTTACAGGTTTTGTGGATTCTAAATGAATCTAAGAATCTTAGTCCCACTATTTTATTTTTTCTAACTACAATTTTCTTTGATATTGATATATAAAACTCTTTGTTTAATGGTATTTTAGAAATTTCACCATAAATTTTTGTTAATTCTTTCACAAATAAGTGTCAGTCGTGAGCTGAAGGATTATGAAAAATATGGGGAACAATTTTATAATTTATTTATTTTATTTTACATTCCATACGTTATGAGCCGCGCCTCTATATTTTCCTGTTAAATGACAATGATCTGAAACTATTTCGCTTTCATCAATTAATGAATTTTCACTAATACTACAATTTCGTTCTGAGTAAAATGAATTTAATTGTTCGATTGATAGCGGCTGTCGGCACTCGGGTGGGAGTTGCCTACAACATACGGCGGCAATACGGCAACCCGCCTTCAATACAAAAGTCACTGGAGCGTACGAATGTATGTTTTACTCTAGTGGAGAATACAAGTTAAAAGGAGTACTCCTAATACAAAAGATCGCGCACCGCAGTATAACCTCCCACACTCCATGGCTTTTGACGACAAACTCACCACGAGCGCACCACATTTATCTGTCTAGTGTGCCCGATCTCTTCATGAGGGCACAATACCAAAAATCCAATACTAAATACTAAACTATCGATAATCGACCCGCGCTGCTCCCTTGACCAGATCATTTGGCGTTAGAGGGGCTTCCTGGTCCGAACTTACTGGCATATGGGTGAGCGGACGAGAACTAACAATATTCTCCGCCTCTATTACCGAAGTTCTTGCCGTTGACGCTGCGCAGTCTATGTACTGGCCCTCGACGGCACATGAAATTCCTGATCACAATTATGCAGGAATCCCTGGACAGGTCGTGCGCCAGTTCCAAATGAATCGCCCTGGTCGTCAGGCACGTAAACAAGGCCACCCACCGCTTCTCCTGGTGCTGAGCTACGGTCACTAGCAGTGGTTCAAAGCAGTCGAGGCCCGCGCTCTTAAACGGCCAGCCACTGGCCTCCAGACGATCTTCTGGCAGGGGTCCCATAATCGGCGGCATCGGCCGCGTTATGTGCAGCTTACACTCGCTGCATCCCGAGATCACACTGTGAAGCACTCTTCGCAGTCTCGTAATTCAGAACCTGGTCCGGATCTCACGCACAATCATCTCCGTGAGACTGTGCCGGTGCGAAAGGACCACTGGCCTCTTGGCGCTGAACGGTATAGCGCCGCATCAATCCTGCCGTACACTCGCAGGACTCCATTGCCATCTAGGTATGGCGCCAGTCCACATATGTCGCTTCCTTTAGCAACGTCCAGGCCATTCTCTGCGGCCCTCATCTCATCGGGAAACACCTCCCGTTGTGCTGTAAGGACCAACAAATTCTCAGCTGCCTCACCCTCAGCTACAGTGAGGCCATCGTTCTCAAGCTCATCTCGTTGTCCACGGCATCGACGCGTGAACCTTAGGACCCAGACCGTAGTCCTCAACAATCTCCTATAGCTTGAGAATCTAAACGTGTCACTTCCTACAACAAGCGCAAAGTCACACGGCATCTCCTCTTCATCTTCTCCATCTGCATCGTCGGCGGGTGCAGCTCCTGGCCAGCTGCCCGCTGGTCTCCTCAGGAATGCCGGTCCTCTCAACCAGCGCGACTTCTCACTTAGGTCGACGCTGCATTGCGACCGAGTCGCATCATCAGCACCGTTGTCGGCGGACGGTAGACATCTCCATTGGGCCACGTTCGTCGACTCAAGAATCTCGGCTACTCTGTTTCCTAGCGCCTGTGCGTGCTGCCAATCCAACGCAGCACTGTCTCCGAGTCTGTCCATCAATCTCGTTCCTAGAACCGCTGCCTGCAGCTCCAATCGTGGAATCATCATCGTTCGCATCGGCGCACACTTCGTCTTTGCGCACACGAGCCTCACTTACACGTCACCGTCCTCATTCGTGATCCTCTAGTAGATCACTGCCGCGAATGCCGACTGACTCGCATCCACAAGCACGTGCATCTCTATGGTCTTCACTAGCCCAGATCCAAAATACTTTGTCCATTTTTTAACGCCAATCCATAAAGGCGTTGAACATCTCCGCCACAATAACTTCGCTGTTATTATCAGGCAACACAGAAATCCCAAGGGGTCAAACGTCGACATGACCATACTCAAGAATTCCATTTTTGTGGCCATTCTCTTCCTATTGGCCACGATGGGGGCAACTTTATTGTTCTTCACTCGGAACCTGAAATCGTCCGTGGTTTGCTGCCACCGCATTCCCAAAATCTTCTGCTAGGCCTCACCCCATCCAATACTCTGGGCGTGATCGCTGATTCCAAACATCCTCTCTACTGTGGGGAACTAGACGAGAACTTTTACAGCTAAAATCCGCCTTCTGCATGTATTTCCTTCACTCTGATAGATACTTTGATAGCTTCGCTCTCTGTGGCGAAGCTGTCCACATAGTCGTCCACGTAGTGGTAGTCCACGATGGCCTTCACTGCTCGGGGATCCAAATCCAGGAATACCTTGGCATTCTCAGTCTTCACATGATGCGCCGAGCTCGGTGAGCATGCAGCTCCAAGCGTCATCACGCACATCTCATAAACGTATGGGTCCCGTTGGTCATCCCCATCTTTCCACAGAAACCGTTGCGCACATCTATCTTTGGGTCGGATCAGCACCTGGTGAAACATCTCCTTGATATCACTGCAGACGACGACAGCACCTTCCCTGAAATGTAAGAGAATATATGCCAAGGGCTTATAGTGTTGCGGCCCCTTGCTTAACGCAGAATTCAATGACACTTCTCCAACTCGTGCCGCTGCATCAAATACCAATTGAATCTTCCGCGGCTTGTTGGGATTCTTCACTCCAAAATGTGGCAAATACCATGTCTTATCGCTTCCCATAGCGATCTCCTGTCGTTCCAAGCGCCTAGCGTATCCCTTGACAACATAATCCTTCATAATCCTTAAATGTTCCCGGGCGAACTACCCGTCTCGCTTTATTTTCTTCTCGATATTGACAACCTATTGTACGCCATATCATAACTTCGTGGCAGCACAATGTTATCCTTCATCCACAATAATCCCGTCTGGTATCGGTGGCCAACTCGCACCGTAGTGCCCTCCAAGATCTGCTGAGGCCGTATCTCGTCGTCCTTCTATGGGCCCAAAAACCACCCATCCTAATTCGGTTGCGGCCGCGTACGGTCCCTCTCTGGCAAACCGTCTCATTCTCAATGGCAATCCGAAATGCCCATGGGCCGCAGCTTCGATACTGCATTCTCGTAGGGCTTCATCGGTAATCGATTGTCCTTGTTACGCTCTTGACATCTCGTCTGGGCAGGCTCTGCATCGGCAAACTCAAATTCGAAACGGCATAAGCGTTTCTCAGGAGCACTTTCCTGCTCCACTAATCTGTAGACGTACCACGTAAGTAGGCTCTCTTGTGGCCCTACCTCCGATCCATTGAATATTCAGCTGACGACGTACTCATTTTAGGCCTAGCTCTGCAAGCAGCTCGTTGTCGACCATCGTCACCGAAGAACCTTTATCCAGGAGCGCGTATGTATCCGGGAATGCACAGAACAGTAGTCGTTCTCGGTCCTCGTCGACACAGCTCAAATTCCTTTCCGGCGTCGCCGGAGCATCCACGGATGATGATGCTCCTTCATTCACTCAGACGACTTCCCTCGGCCCAACTTCTTGTCGGATCCGGTTGTAGCTTCTCCAATTGCCGCCTCGCTGTGGCGGTCTCCTGAAGCCTTCATTGCTTGCTTGATGCAGAAATCGGAGATGTTTCCTCCTGCATCCATTCGCGGGGCACTCTCCTGACACAGCGCAGGATCCAGTCATATGCCCGCTTCGCAAGCATATAAAACATAAGCGATGTCTTCTGCCAAGCCTCCACCTCTCTGTAGGTGTGACTCCAATGAATCGTTGGCAGTCCCAAACTGGTTTCCCAATATGTGGAGGGCTTGGACCTGGCGACTGACCTACCCAAACCTCACTCGGGATGGGTACGCTCCATATTAGCGCTGCAAGCGCACTCCAAATCCTTCACCAGCTCGGCAATTCTTTCCAAGAGGTTGGCCACCTTTGGTTTCTTGGCGGCTCCAGTACCTGCCGGCTGATCAGATGACACTGGGGCTTCACTGCCTCGGCCGCCATCCTGCGACGTCCCTGCACTCGATTTCGGGACCAACGCGCGGCCATCTAGTTTCAGCGTCACTATATCCTGTCCATCGTTCAGACGAGGACTCCTTCTGGGAGAATGCTGCATCATCTCGTCCAGGCACTTTGCGCTGTCTGCGCAAGATCGACCCTCTCACCAGGGTGCACTCCCAATGTCGCCAGTTGCCTGACTGCGAATAAAAGCTTCTGTCGTCACTCGGGTGAGAGTTGCCTACAACATACGGCAGCGATATGGCAACCCGCCTTCAAAACACAAGGCACTGGTGTATATTCCACAAAAAAAGCATAAAAGTATGAGCGTGCGTATGTATGTTTTACTCTAGTGGGGAATACAAATAACAGTATAACCTCCCACACTCCATGGCTTTTGACGGCAAACTTACTAGGAGCGCGCCACATTTATCTATCTAGTGTGCCCGATCTCTTAATGAGGGCACAATACCAAAATTCCTATACTAAATACTAAACTATCGATAATCTACCCGCGACAGCGGCTTTAAGGGTCATTTTACATTGAAGTGATTTTCATATAACAATAAACAATCACTAAAAAATCTTCACTATGATATATTCGATATATATTAAACTTGTTGTCAAATGAACATTTTATATAATATCTATATGCATACGGTATATGCTTTTGAATTAGATTTATGTTATCTGAACTTTTAGTATCTATTCCTTCTAGAATACATTCAAAATCAGCATATACGACAGAAGGAACGTCTTATCGACTTTTAAAATTTTTAAATCTTTATATCGAATCATTGTTTGACGGCAACTCAGTTATAATTTTAAAACCCTTCAGACTATGCTTTTCCAGTTTGTTGCTATCGTCGAAATTCTGTAGACAGGTAGACTATAGACGTTTCGTCACTTGTCTACCGAGTAATCTAATGGAGGAGAAACAAAGAAATTATATATATATGTAAAGTATTTTATTTATAGAAAATAAATGTTTATTATAATGCGTGATTAACTTATTGGTGAACAATACTAATAATGATATTAAAGAAATGACGACTTTTCTATTTCACAACGCAGTTTTCGACTTGACTTTTTAAAGAGTTCTATTTAAGTTTTAAAACCGTGTAAGAGCTGCTGGATCGCTAACAGCTGTGACCTGTTTACATATATAAAATTTTTTAAATTATTTAATTTAATAATTACTTTGGAATATTTTTAATCCAAACATATTGATAGTGATGTGTCCTTCCAACACAATTATACTATTTAATGATTATTTTTATACCCGTTACTCGTAGAGTAAAGAAGTATACTAGATTCGTTGAAAAGTATGTAACAGATAGAAGGAAGCGTTTCCGACCCTACAAAGTATATATATTCTTGATCAGGATCAATAGCGAAGTCGATTGAGCCATGTCCGTCTGTCCGTCCGTCCGTATGAACGCTGAGATCTCAGGAACTAGAGCAGATACAAAGTTGATATTAATCATGACGATTCTTGAGATCCCGGGACAGCGCAAGTTTATTTCAGCATCCTGACACGCCCACTCTAACACCCACAAATCGCGAAAAACTAAAATCGCTGAAATCTCGGGAACTATTAGAGCTAGAAAGTTGAAATTCAGTATGCATAAACTTTGGATGCCAGCGCTTCTTTAAGTAGTACTGTTATCTGGCCACACCTATCCATACGCCCACCAAGCTCAAAAGACGGTTTTCGCATATTCAAGAAAACCTGATATCTCGGTAACTATAAGTGATAGCATGATAGCATGTATATATTTATGATGCCCCAAATGCGAATTGTTTTCTTTCCATTTAGCCACGCCCACCATATCGCCCACAACACCCGAAAAACCAAAAATGCAAAACTCCCGGGAACTAAAAGAGCTAGAAAGTTAGGCTTAAAATTATGTATTTAAGGGTTGCCACTGCAACTTCCCACGAGTTTTTATCCAGCCACGCCCACTCTAACGCCCACAAACTGCGAAACACTATGGCGTCTTTAATAATATTATGAATGCCTTCGTTTGACCTTGTATAACTTATTACTGTTAATATCTATCGATTTACCAAAGATTTTTTAAATCGGAACATTATTTCGCTACTTATGAAGAAATTTAAGTTATAAGGCCTCACATTTGCACAACACCTGCACTCTGTGTTCCAGCCTAACGACATTTCCAATCCTACAACGGAAGCTGAAGTAGAAAACTTTCTTAGGTCACCCTGTCAAATGAGCTTGCCAATTAAAAGAATCCATTTTGACGAAGTCGTGACAGAAATTAAATGCTTGAGTAATAAAAAATCGCCAGGCCCGGACAAGATAGACGGCATCACTCTCAAAAATCTACCATTAAATTGTATACGGTTTCTTACGCTAGTGTTTAACGCCATGCTCAGGTTAGACCATTTCCCAAGTCAATGGAAATGTGCAGAAATCATCATGATCCTCAAGCCAAATAAGACAGAATCAGAACTATCATCTTACCGTCCCATTAGTCTGTTGACAATATTCTCGAAAGTGTTTGAAAAAATACTATTGAAGAGGATGTTGCCAATTTTGGACGAACTTTCCATCATTCCTGAATACCAATTCGGATTCAGAAAAGGTCACGGCACCACTGAGCAATGTCATAGGGTCACCAATGAAATTGTATCTGCGCTTGAGAACAAAAAATATTGTACTGCTGCGTTCCTAGATGTTCAACAAGCGTTTGA